CACTTGAACTGAGCAAGGTGATTTACTGTGCCGTAGGCACTTGAACTAAGCTCGTCGATTTACCGTGCCGTAGGCACTTGAACTGAGCAAGTCGAGTTATTGTGCCAGCAGGCACCCGGATTGAGTATCATTGCGATTTACTATGCCAGCAGGCACCTAGATTGAGTATCATTGCGATTTATTGTGCCAGCAGACACTCTGATTGAGTATCATTGTCGAGTTATTGTGCCAGCAGGCACTCAGATTGAGTATCATTGTCGAGTTATTGTGCCAGCACGCACACAGATTGAGTATCATTGCGATTTACTGTGCCAGCAGGCACTCAGATTGAGTATCATTGCGATTTATTGTGCCAATAGGCACTCAGATTGAGTATCATTGCCGAGTTATTGTGCCAGCAGGCACTCAAATTGAGTATCATTGCGATTTATTGTGCCAACAGGCACTCAGACTGAGTATCATTGCCGAGTTATTGCGCTAGCAAGCACCCAGATTGAGTATCATTGCGATTTATTGCGCTAGCAGACACTCAGATAGAGTACACTGATTTTGTTGTGCCAAGGGGCACCCAAACCGAGTAGACCGATTTTGGTATGCCAAGGGGCACTCAGATCAAGTACACTGATTTTGCTGTGCCAGATGAATGAAAAACGACTGTGCGCACTCAAACTTGAGTGCGACACTGCGCCCTTAATTTGAGAAAGCCAATGATGCATATGCGACTGTGCGCACTCAGATTTGAGTGCGACACTGCGCTTCTTATCTAAGGAACCCGCTTGAATGATCTTGAGTATATCCGACTGTGCGCACTCAGATTTGAATGCGACACTGCGCTCTTTATCAGAGAAAACCCGCTTTGATGATTTTGAGTATGTGCGACAGTGCGCACTTTATCTGTAAATTTGGCATGACAATTTTGAACATGTGCAACAGTGTGCACTCAATTTGAAAACTCAGCATTGATTTTTTTCGAGCAAGCGTGACTGTGCGCACTCGAATTTGAGTGTAACACTGCATGATCAATATGCAAAACTCCACTTTGATGATTTTGATTTTGTGTGACAGTGCGCACTCAATCTGTGGAATTTTGCTCAATCTGCGTACACTGCTTCTGATGATTCTGAGTGCACGCCCAGCCTCAGTTTGGCTGTTTGAGTGCGTGCCCAGCCTCAGTTTGGCCTTTTGAGTGCGCACCCAGCCTCAGTTTGGCTGTTTGAGTGCGCGCCCAGTCTCAGTTTGGTAGTTTAAGTGCGCGCCCAAGCTTGGCACTGCTGTTAGAGTGTGCCCCCATGCGCGCCCAAGCTTGGCATTGCAGTTAGAGTGCGCGCCCATGCGCGCCCAAGCTTGGCATTGCAGTTAGAGTGTGCGCCCATGCTCGCCCAAGCTTGGCATTGCAGTTAGAGTGTGCGCCCATGCGCGCCCAAGCTTGGCACTGCTGTTAGAGTACGCGACCATGCGCGCCTAAGCTTTGCACTGCTGTTAGAGTGCGCGCCCAAGCTTGGCATTGGTGATAGAATGCGCGCCCAAGCTTGGCATTGCAGTTAGAGTGCGCGCCCATGCGCGCCCAAGCTTAGCATTGCTGTTAGAGTGCACGCCCATGTGCACCCAAGCTTGGCATTGCTGTTAGAGTGCGCGCCCATGCGCACCCAAGCTAGGCATTGATTGTTAGAGTGTGCGCCCGTGCGCGCCCGAGCTCGGTATCGCTATATGAGCATGCGCCCATGTGCGCCCGAGCTTGGTATTGCTATATGAGTGTGCGCCCGTGCGCGCCCGAGCTCGGTATCGCTATATGAGTGTGCGCTCGTGCGCGTCCGAGCTCGGTATCACTATATGAGCGTGCGCCCGTGTGCGCCCGAGCTCGGTATTGCTATATGAGTGCGCGCCCGTGCGCGCCCAAGCCAGATATTGCCATTTGAGTATGCGCTCTCTCACATGCGCCCATGATCTGTATTGCTGTTTGAGTGCATGCCTATGAGTGCCCAGGCTCGTTATTGCAGCAAGAGTGTGCGCCCATGCGCCCCCGAGTTAGATATAGTCATTTGAGTGTGCGCCCATGCGCGCCCACGCTTGGTATTGCACCATGAGTGCGCCCGGGCTCGAGTAGGCTATATGAGTGTGTGCCCTGATGATTCTAGATCGCATGTTCCGCTGATACGATGGTCGGGGACGTGCGCCCAGCGAGTGTGATTAGTCTTGAGGACATGACTGGATGTCTCTGATGATATGACTAGCCCCAACTCCCTCTGATATGATTTCTTGTTGATGAGTCTCTGCATGAACGATATTCATATTATGCCCTGTGCAGACGGTATTTTTCCTGCACGCATGATCTCAGTGTAGTTCGGTTTGCACGCGCAGTATCTTGCAACTGGACTCTGCATGGATAATATCTTGATGATCGGTCTCTCTCAGTGACAATACTTGCAGTTCAGTCCTCATGCTCTAGTCCACTTGCTGCAGAGATGTTCGTATGATGTTGCTA